GGGGGGGGAGGTAGACGGGCGAGGCGCGTGTTTTTCTCTCCTCGAGAGTGCACAGCCATCCTCGGGAAGGCGGGGAACCGGTTTGCGGTGCGAGGTGACGCGCATTTCGCGGCGCGTATTCATATCGTCTGTCCCCCGTTCGCCGCCCGCCGCGGGCGCCCCAGTCCCAGTCCCGGCCCCGGCCCCTAGCAAGCGGGCGCGCGGCGATGGGCAACGGAAACAAAAGCGTCACGCAACAGCTGCGGCTCGGCCCCGCCGCGGTGCGTCTTGGGGGCAGCGCGGCGGGGCGGGACGCAGCGCGGGGCGGCGCGGCGAGACCACTACCACCGGAAGTCGCCCGCGGTCTGAAGGAAAAGCGAGTGAGCGGGCGGGCGACCGCCCGCCCGCCATCCGTCCGTCCTCCGCCCCGCCCCCGTCCCGGTGCGGCGCTCGGCCGCGGGATGGGAGGGGTGGGGATGGGGGAGAGGGCGCTGGCGGAAACCGAGAGCGATGCGCGATGCGGCGGCCGCCGCCGCCGTGTTCAAGGCCGGGAGACACATGTGCCCCGTGCACGTGCTCGCAGACGCTCGCTCCGCTCTTCTGCTCCGAATGCTACTGCTGCTGCTGCTTCGGCTACGCTGTTGCACGGCTGCGGGAGACGGGAGTCCCGTGTCCTGTAGACGCAGTCGCCTACCCGGCAAGCAAGCAAGCAGGCGGGCGGGCGAACAAGCCTGCGAAATTCGCAAGTCACTTCAATGTCCTTTAGCTAAGTACACCGTACATTTGGCAACGTGGCGCTTGCGCGGCGAGCGCAGTCGCGGAGACGGCAGGCCCCGCGCCGACGCTTACAAAAATTATGGCCCTCATCACGGCCAGCCTATTATACTTATATTTCGAGCAGATGATATTGTTAGTGAATACATTGTTTATTCGGAGAGATTTCATCGTTGGCATGACAACCTTTTTCCCTCCTGTCGGTGGGCTCCTTCCTCCCCCTTTCCCCACTCTTCCCATCCGATTCAACCATTATCCCCACCGCCTCTCCCTGTCTGCGTTCCCGTCCCCGCCACCGCCGACGGAGGAAGGACGGGGAGGTGGGGCGGGGCGGCGCAGCGCCGCCATGTTGGCTCCGGACGGCGCCAACCGACTCGGTACGCGTCTTGACTCGCCAGGCGAGGCGACTCCGATCTGCAGGCGGATGTACGCGCGTGTCCTCATGCACGCCCACGCGCGCACCTCCACCTGCCCTCCGCGCTCGTAGCCAGCATGCGGGCGCACCCGTGCGTGCGTGCGTCGGCCCCCCGGGTGCTGCTAGGCGCTCAGCGCGCAACCAACGAACCTCCCGACAATCGCCCGACTCGACTCGCGCGTAGAAAACGCGTTGTAATCATCAGCCTTACGATTTCAGGCGAAGTGTTTGCACCCATCTGCTTTAAGTTTGTTTTAAAATAGATCGCGCGGTCGTCGACGCTTCGACGAAACACGTTGGGTTTCCAACCTGTACAGAGTGCGCGCGGAAGAAGATATTTTCAACCTTGATTTATTTACAAAAGGACCGCTTTTCGCGAGCGGGCACGCTGGCGGCTGGCAGCCGGGACGCATAGGCCAGCCCAGCCGTCCCGCGCACGCAGGCCGCGAGCGGACCTCCACGACGGCCGCGGCAGGCAGCAGCGTTTTGTGTACCCTGCGCAACCTTTATACAAGGCCGCCCTCGCCCCGCCGCGCCGCGCGCCTTGCGCCGGCGAGGGAGCTCCCCTCCCTGCGCGCCGCCGCCTCCCCTCTCCCGGCCGCGCCGCGCCGCGCCGCGCGCCCCTCCCTTCGACAACACTCTTGGCCATTGATACAACTGACTGCCACCCCTCCACCGCTCGAAATATGGACTCGTCCCAAACCTGTTTGCGACTACGACGACCCTACCGTCGCTGGCGGGATCCGCTCGCCTAGCTACGCTGCCTGTTGGGTTAGCCTGTATGTGTGTGTGATGGCTTTTCTAGGGCTAGTTCAATGACTTAAACATTTAAGGTACTACAATGTCGAAGGACGAACGCTACATATTGTGTTCCTTCAGGTGCTAAAGTAAATAAATTACCGAAACCCACAATTTTTCCTTTAATTTTATCAGTATTAAATTAAATGAACACTTTTTTGTTTTGTAAATAAGTGTTTATAATATTTCCTGGAAACAGTGATCGCATTTTATAAGTGCTCCGCGTCAGTGGTTTACTCCGACTCCGCGTATTTCAACGTTTCGTGAATGGAAATCGTCCAGAAGAACCCGAAATCTTCAAGAAAACGAGTGTGTTATCTGTGATGTGCACGTGTGCTAATCTGCCAGTGCTGCCCGTCGACTCGGAGCGGTGTAATGTGGATCGGCGATGACAATGACAAACACGTGCGTTCCTGACTGGATTTCAATGTTTGAAGCGACGTTCAGCTGTTCGCGGAAATTATCCCGCCGCCGCAAGTGAGGCGCTTGGCGCCACGCATCGCTTCGCGAGGCCACCCCGACCCGTGCGGGATGGCTCCAATATGCTCCGTGTGACATCTCGTTTGTAGCAACGCAACACGCGCGCCCCGTCGAAAGAATATAGAAAGGTAACAGAAAATGCATTCCCAATGGTGAACAAGAATGGTATTGTCGCATAGAAGGTGTAACTCAACCCTTTTGTTATGTGCGTTGAATTCATACTCCTATCTACGGCTGTACAGTTATTGGGAATTTATAAGGAAGAAATTGCAGTACTACATCCGGAATGCCTTCGATGACACGATCAACGCCAGGAAGCAACATGTATACTTGCAATGTTAAATGGCATTTTCCGTTATCTACGTCCTCAGCAGAAGAAGCAACTTACGCTAAAATATATCACATTTTTAGAAAACCATCGTATCACGTAGAATAGTTTAGTATGGCAATCTCCGCAGAGTGCTACGATGTAGTTGAAACGTTGTTACTCCTACCGTTCCCTAAAACTTTCCAGCACTACCCTGCGTCACGTAAAAAGTGAGTTGTATATCGCAGATGCCGTGCAAGGTTTGCGTATGCAGTAGATTAAATCTGAAGCATTTCATAGTGTAAACAATACTTTTTTTGTAGAATCACGGAGAACCCAGTACAGTAAGCAGAAGAGAGTGCGCGATATTATAATTCATCCCAGTGTGTTCGCGCCTTTTCCGTGTCGTACGTTCATCTGCAACACGCGACGTCGTTCTTAAATTGGATGCAAGTGGTGACAGTGTCAGTGGAGAACATCAACCCCTTCATCCAGGCTTCTTTTTCACGAAGATGGTGTTTAGTGAAATCCGAGGCGAAGGAGAAGTTTAGTTAGGAAATAGTCGTAGTATTTTTTAACAAAATCGCAGTAGTAGTCGTAGGTAGAGTGCATATTAAAATCGCGAGCAGTGGTGAAGGAGAAGTGTGTGAGGAGGAGCCCCCGCAGGCGCCGCAGCCGACCGCCGCAGCCGCAGCAGAAGCATTTCCTTCGGCCGCCGCGCGCACGAAGGACTGCGGGGCGAGGCCCAGCGAGGGCCCCCGGCTCCTTCTCCTGCTCTGTCGACTATTATGGAAACTGTCCAACAATCTGTGGTCCATCTGGAACATGGGATGCCAGCCCAAGCGCAGATGGCTTATGCTCAGAGACCGTCAGCCCTCCACAGGTAAGCACCCACACACTCACCCGTCATCACAACATTAGGATCTCCCCCGGGCGCGTAACGCGCGGGTTGTTTTTTCTCTGACTGAAATTCGTCCGCGCCGGAAGTGTATCTGGTGATTCATGTGTGTTATGATAGTCTTAGGGCGAGCCTGTGCACTCCACTATGTTGTAAGCGTTAATTCGTTTGCGTAGATTTGCTTGTATGAGGCGTTCGTACGCCCCGTTTCAAGCTGTAGCGGTAGAACATCATTTTAGGCCTAACTTCCGCGCAAGCCACGGTATACGTGCAACGGTGTACTTGCCCGCCTCGCAGGCGTTTGCATATAAAACAATGCCAATCTCTATTTAGCGTTTTGTGCCAGTACAATGTGTGATCGTTCGTTGTATCGCGTAATTCGAAAATGCTGCATTTGCGCATAATCACACTTTTCCTGAATTAACATATGAGTATTTTAAATTAACATATGATTGAACTGTCGCCCATATCAGCCTGTTCCAATATTTCGGGAGCGCTTGGTTGTGAAATAATCTGAGTTTTTCTCTGGAAATGCTAGTCAGTAATGTGGCAACGCCGCGCACTATCCATAACTGAATACTTCAGTACTTGCGTGTTTGAACCGTGCTGTGCCGCATGACAAGGAGACACGTTAAGCTGAAGGAGAATTTATAATCCACATGCATTTTGACCGACGTCTCAGGGAGATGGGGAAAATGTAAACGTTCGACTTGCATCCGCTTATCTTCTCTAAAGAATTTTAAGTGCGTACTGTACGAGATACGGTTCGAAAAGACTAGAAAGGAAACTTTAAACCGCTCTTGTGTACTTTGATCTCATATTTTTAAGTTAAACGATTGTTACACAAACACTTCTTTGAATATTCCCCCTGTCTCGCAAGGAAGAATTTTATATTTGTATTAGGTAATTAGTCCCAACCATGGAACTTAATATTTAGAGAAGAGAATGCGTCAATAGAAAACAGATTTGTACCGTAGACCAAATTTCCTATTTCCACGCGCTCTATTTTCGGATATGAGTAAACTCTAATACTGTACTATTTATATTCCTTGTGTTCAGAAATATTTTGTGTATCAATTTCATTATTCTCTTTTGTCATTCTTTTCAAAGAAAGTTAATATTCTCAGTATTCTTTGTCGAACGCAAAATAAAATTCATGCCTCATGTTCAAGTTGCATGGGCCAAGAAATGTTTCGAATGGCAATTAGTACAAAACTGTGTGTGTGTGTGTGTGTTATCAAATTCTTCGTAAATTGAAGAAATAAAATGTGACAAGGCTAAACGTAGACTTCAGAGTTCACTGTACCTTCCGTGCGCGCGTAGGCGTAATCTAAATGAGAACAACGAAGTGCGAAAACTAGCATCGTATCTACACTTCCTTGAGGACAACATATTTAAATAGCTTCATTTCCACACAGCTTATCTTTTAGCTCGGTCGCCTTTGTTTGCTGTGCTGGTAAGGGGTGAATAAACAAAAACTCGGCTTTTTGTGGAATTTGAGCGACGGGACTTTCAATTAATTTCTCGAATACCTATTTTTGCGGAGTTTTTATCTCTCTTGCCCGAATCGGCTCCTCGCTCTGCTGTGCACCGCGGCTTCTCATCAACGGTTGTTGTTTGATCCTGCGCCATTTTGATGAAAGCAGAGGATCCGCTGCTGCGAGGACTACGGGCGGCTCCCGCTACAGCCGCACAAACGAACTAACGAACTCGTCTTTAAAAACAGCTATTACAGGCAATTTTACAGAATCGTCCTCGTCACGTTGTTGCTTGAAATTTTTAGTCTGGAGTAATTCAAATTTCTGCTTCTTAATTCCCAAGCTTTTAGGTTGTACACGTGCAGTGATTGCGCATTTCAGTATTGTGTTTGAGATAATGCTTTCAGCTTTAATTTTGATGGTTCGTGGCTGAAACGTTCTTCGTAGTTATGTACATTGTAGTTAAGAACAGTGTCCATATGGAAAACAGCGTATGTGAGAACGATCTTCTGGTTCATATTCTGGGGAAAAAATTACTTTGAATTAAAAATCGTTTAAACAGTTTACCGCATACTAATCCAAATATTCACGTTTATGACAATTGTTTACAGTTTCTGAACCTACTGATGTTTTTTCAGAATTACATTCGTTCTAAACGATATTACACGATAATTTCTCTGGTCCAAAAATATTGTTTCAATCTTCACAATTCTTACTATAATCCCTTTTCGGGCAACGTACTATTAATCGTTTATACCTGGCACTGTTGTGGTGTAATGTTCTGCTGAACAATGTAATTCAGTAAGAATTTGTGTGTACGCCTTCAAACATTACATCAAAGAACTATTGAATTTGGTTAAGGTTTAAAACATTATAGGAAATTAAAATCCTACCTATGAAGTCCTATTTGTAAATGCTTTGAGAGGAATTTGACGATAATGGAGTGAGTAGAGTTTCACCTGCTCCAAATGGTCCGTTGGCTCTGTCGCCCGGTCGCCTGCGCGCAACCGCGAAAAACGGAATAAATCAGTAATTCAGTGAAAAATCATCGCAGACCCTGACTTCAACCTGTCAACATGCCCCATGAAACGAGATCTATCTATTGGTATCAATTACATACATTTTTCAAGTTTTCAAAATATCTGTAAGTTAACTTCAGAATTATTTTACCCCCACAATGCTTGTTATGTCAAAGTAGAAGTCTGTAGAATTCTCGCCATATCGATAAAGACATTATTATTATTATTATTATTATTATTATTATTATTATTATTATTATTATTATTATTATAATTAAAAGTTGCTTAACTATTGAGGCATATTTTAAAAATTTGAATGAAAAAATCCTGTATCAAATTTAAATTATAAGAAAATTCTAAATTTTGCATTTTTTCAATGTAAAATTCTGAGGGTATGCGTGTGAATGGTAGCACCAGCTTCAAATTCTTCACCGAAGAGTATTAATTTTCCACCCACAGGAACTGATTTAACTCTGGTTCTGACTTTTCATTGTCCCTCAAGTAATTAGACAATTCAGTTACTGCTGCAGCTGGGATCATCGAGTTTAAAAACTAAGAATTTTCTTGTTCCACCAGTTACATATGTGGAAAACATATTGTGAGTCAGTGCTGTTTCAACCTCGTATTTACCACGCATTAAGTGTTTTTATACAGAATAATGAACAAAAGACGCAAAACTTTATCAACTGACAATGAGGCTAACTATGTGCTGAAGAGCTGGATGATGTGTAAATATGGTTTTCTCCCAAGAAAGCAAACATCCCATTTTTATTTTCCCCGAGACTTTCAGTTAATAACAAATCGAATTTTTGAAGCCTCAAATAGCTCTGTCTCTCTCACAATTTTAACCCATTACTGGATTTACAATATTGTGTTGGAAAATAATTGATTTTTTAGAGCCTCGTATTTCTCAATATATATTTTAGCTAACTATTGTATTACATATATTACAATACTATTGTATTCTAATGTATCTGTATGTTGTCGACCTATGCTGAAACCATTTATACAATTTTGGCCTCATTATCACATAACTAATCTTAAATGATCAGTGGCAGGTGAAGAAAAATTGTATTGTTTGAGCTTTTATGCATGCCAGCTAAAATAACGTTTCACTAGAATATGCTGGACTTGATCCATTGACCTTGATTGTAAAACGGATGTATTTCAGGATTTGTGTGGTAGTGCTATCTTAAGTCTTCACAGAGACTCCTATCATGTACGTGAGATTGTAGTTAACATGAAACAATGAAAGAAAACTATACAAATCCTTTACAGCGACTGGAACAAAAAATGTAGCAGATATTAAGTTTATTTAGTTGGGGGTATGTCTCCAACTTAGTTTCTATTAGATTTTAACGTTTAAGAGATAATCTAACATTGAAATAGTATATAGAGTTGGTTGAATCCAAACGAAAATTTAAGTGTATTTTTTACTTGGGAATAACATTTTATCTTCAAATTTGCTTATTTTCCCTCTCCTGATATTATTTCCAATAGAGCGTTATGGTATTTCTTGCGAATATATCGCAGGTAACACCACGAAGCGAGGAGGGGATTTATCTGAGGATTTCCAAAGCACGAGAGGTATTTAAACGACTATTCCACGAGTGAAATTATGTCCAACAGAGTTCCAAAATGCGCCAAATATTGAAAGTAACTGAAAGCGATGTTAAAATCACATGCGACATAGCGATCCGTGTAGTATATCGCCCCCTATAATAGATGAGTCACAGTTTCTGATCAGCCACAAGTTAAAAGCAGTAAGAAAAATGGGATAGAAAAAGCAATAAATTTTTCAAGATTCACTGCCTTGATTGGGGCATTTTGTATGTATAGTTAAACTATTGTGTTTTTTTTTTCAAAAGAAGAATAGTCATTATACAGTTTTTTAATGATTTTTTCGCTGATTTATTTCTAAATTAATCTTCTCCCCCCTACGTCAGTACAGTTTTTGTTTTTGACTAAATAAATCTAAAAATCTAAATCTAATGTTTAATTAAGTATTCGCTAAGAATTAGCTTTTTCGCATCGAAGTTTAAGGAAAAGTTTGCCAGAAAATCAGTTGATTGTATTAACTATTGAGTGTATCGAGGAAAGTAATCTCTTCCGCCCATCTGTTTGACAAAATGTTCTTTGACGTCAATTCGAGTGTTAATTCAGAGCTCATGTTAATTGCACGAACTGAAGCAGCAGGAAATTCGTATTTCATTTTGAGTACTTGAGTTTCAAATGAATGCGTGACGAACTTTCGTGCCGAGTTAAAAATCAAAAGGATGTAACGTTGAAAATGTATGAAGTTCTTTACTCGTTTCTTCTACGTTCTTTGAGATGACCACGGGAGTTACAAGTAATCTTCAAATGTACCCGGTGGCAGTTATGTTCCTTAGTAAGGCTGTTTTATGGTAATACTGTTAATCTTAACTAGATTTAAATCGCTTAATAGTTTTGGAATGTTGCAGATGTTCTGTTTTCTATTTCCTACTATTTTATCTTCTAAGTGGTAATAACAGTGTTCAGTGTTGTCTTATTATCCCTATTAACTTTCTAATTTGCATTGTTCGGGTTGAATTACAAACGGTACATTTGCAAAACTCAGGCATTGGGATAGTCTCGCACATAGTTTATGTTCAGTTTCAAAGGAAATGTATCAAAATATAGATTTCATATTCAATTTTTTCTTCATAAAAAATAGATTAACCAAATATTGCAGTTGTGAAAATTCACATTTTTGTATTCCCATCAGCATATTTTGTGTTTTCCGCTTTGGGAAATTATTTTTTCAAACCTCGGACTACTTCTATGCGGAAATGAGAACTGTAACTTCCCCTTTTTTAGGATCCCGGGGAAATACAGCTAAATTATATACTCGCTGTGGAATGGCTCAAACAACTCGTAGCTAACATTAATTACTGTGAATCACTGAATCTGGGTGATATTCTGATACAACGCACTGGGAGTTATTTTTTTCGCACAAGACCCAGGAGCAAATATATCCATTTTTATTAAGAGGTTAATTCTGTTGTGTTATAATTTTGTAAAAGTAGAAAGCTTACACATTGTTATTTGAAATAGTATTATAAGCGTGCAAGCTCATAAGTGGAAGTATTTAACCTTTTTGACCGTGCATTGTACACGATATGAAGCGTCACGCAAAAGCCGAATCGAAAATTAGATTTCTATAAATTCTCGACAACCACCATTAGATGTGTAACTTCAACGTTTGACACATCAGGTATTAATTAATGATAAGGGATTTTTTTTTTTGCGTTGTGACAGCTGGTCACTTCTCAGCTACATCAACAACAACAAAATTGATCTTTTCGAACGTACGTTTCTCGATGACGAGTGCCAGGGAAGCCCTGTCTGTGTGCCTGTCCCATTCGTCATCTTTGAAAATCGCTTTCTCCAGAGATGTCTTTGGCGATGGTTCAGTCCGCCGTGCCGTGCCGCGCCGCGCCGCGTCGTGCTCTCGTCCTCAGCGTTGCCGCCTCGCAACGCTCTCTAGGCGTTTGGTTAACTGGGCTAAAAATAGGCCAAAAATGGAATATCGGCCAGGACGATTTTGCACCCCCTAAGAATAGGCGGCCTTATTTATACAAGGGGACGCTCGCGCCCTCGCCAGGCAGCAGGCGGGGACTGATCCGCGCTCTGCCGGCGTGGGTAGCGAATGGAGTCCTCTTCCCGTGAAATGCTTTGTCTCCTCTTGGACAAACAAACGCCGAATGAACATTCTTAACAAAATGAATTTTCATATTAATATTTGGTATTTGAATAGGTGTTTTCTGGCTTTGCAAAGCTCTGCAAAATGAGCCACTGGTTTTTCAAATTTCGAATGTAGGTGTTACTGCGTATGGGCTTTTGCTTGCTCGATGTAAAGCTAACCCCCTAAGTATTTTATTTATTACACTTTGTTTCTTGTTTTATCCATTAATTGTCCATATTTCATACTATAAGAATTCGCGTTCATTATGTCTTCTCAAGATATTTTTACTTAAGTTTTGCACCCATACAGAACTTACAATAATATGAATTATTGAACATTGTATACTGCTCAGCTATTACATATAAATAATATGCACTGATCATTGATTGGCTTGAAAATACTTCATCTGTGAAATGTACGTTTATCTTAATGTTACAAATTATTAGTATAAGCCTATTTTGCATATCTTTGAGTCAATTTTTCTCTTTAATGGGAAGTGGACGGTGTCTGTTTAATGTGTTATGTTTTTTTAATTTTTTTAATATATATTTATTAGTGAACAAATGTACATAGTTAGTATTATTTATACATCTATGTATTTATGACTTATATTTAACTTAAATGCTAATCTTATACAACTAAATATAACTACAATGTAATTAGGAAACTCGCAGAGCACCTATGTGATATAATTGGAGTTCTGAAATATGCTAGGAGAATTTAAAGGATATCTATTTTTTATTCTAGTTGGGTGCTGGGTAGGTGGTGGCCTTGTCGTAATGGGTGGCTTTGGGTTATTGGTGTTTGGAGAGAAATTTTTAGATAGGAAGCGCGCATATGGTAAATTATAGGAGGTAGATTAAATTCTTTGTGCACGTTGCATGTTTGAGATGACCAGGTGCATGAGTGGCAACGTCTGAGGAAATTATTTTGGTTGATCTGTAAATTTTATTGATATTAGTTTTAGAGGCATTGACCAGATAGGGCAGCATAAGATTAGGGGTCTAATTTATTGATTTATAGATGGTAGATGGCATTGTTTAATGAGACTTCCTATTGCGATTTAGAGTGGCTTTAGTTGAATTAGTTTATTTTGGCTTGCTGTGCTTTTACTGTTATGTGATTTTTTTCCAATTTAGTCTGCGTTTCAAGATTCAGCCCTAAGTATTTGACAGATTCATTGTGTGAGGTCCATTATGTGTAGCAGAAATGTCCATAGTTTGTTTAAATATTGTGTGTTTGACGCCCGTGGGCGCAAAAAAGTCACGTGTGCATGTGCTTTTTACGTTCTGCAGTAGTGACCGATAATTCCAAATAAAATTTGTAATAGGTTATTTGAGAGTACGAGTATACTACCCTCGTCCAAACGCTCAGTAGTGCCCGCTTAATACCGGACTTTCATAAAACACAGCTTCACTTTATTTAGGCATGCTTTGTTCATTTAGTAGTCCTGGCAAATGCGAATGCTTAAGAAATAAATTCTCCGAAAATAATGAATTTTGGAAGTGTCCTTATTTATTTCAAAATTTTGCGTTTGAGGAAGAACATTTACCGGAGAATGTGTCTCGAAAAATAGTGTTGCTTTCTATAAATGGAACATTGTCATTGGGAGTGACGTTTGTCTTTTAAAGATGTTGATCGAAAGAAATGTAGGAAAGGAAAAAAAAATCTACGATATTTATAGCCTCAACGCACTAATCATTTAGAAATCGTCACTATGCCCACTAGTGGGGCGCGCGGCCGTTTAGGCTAGCTTTGGAATGCAGTGAAATGTCGGGAGCTGCGCACAAAAGCGCAGTTTCCCTGAGCCGCTTCGCCCGGGGGCGCCGCCGTTAGCTTGAGGAAGAGGCGTAAACCCGTCTGGCGTCGGGTCGCGGTCCCACAGCCCCACTCATTTCGAAACTCTGCGGCTTCGCCTCCAGAACTTTCCGCTACGTTTGGGTCCGGCCCGGGGAGACACTGGGAATGTGGCGACGGCCGTGCGAGAGCGCGTTCAGGCGCTCACTCAGTGCTAATATCAGTTGCGTTTTTGCATTTGAGAAGTGCTTTCTTTAGCACGTCTGTTCTCATGGTCTTTCGGCGACGAAAGGTAGAAGAGAGTTGTTTTTTTTATTTTTTTTTTAACACCTAGCGCGATTGCTTCTAATCGTTATCCTATTACTCACCCACTTAATCATCGGTTTGTCAGTAAAATTTTCTTTGACGACGAACTGAACGGAGTTCTCCAAAACGAGGGTGAATCAATAGCTCGACGAACACTATTTCAGTTGCTCATATTATGTATATGAATACCAAAATATCCATTACTTCTCAAGATAATTGGCCTTTTTCTAAAATATTTCTTCCATTGGTGGACCAAGACGTTGATAGCAGGCGGCGTGGAAGAATTCTGGTTAAATGAAGGCCGCGGGCTTGTAAATAATATTCAAGTATTGAACATAAGTTATTAATATGAAAATAAAACCCTTGTACTATTACAGTATTCAATACTTACTTATATATATATATATATATATATATATATATATATATATATTTGTGAGTGTGTGAACTAAAAAATAACAATTATAATGCAACAGAGTTTAAAAAAAAGATTTTCAATCGTGATTAATTTACTCAATTTTTATATCGTTAAAATTAAGTTAACCTATTGTGAACTAATATAAAATTGTGCTTAAAAAGTGTTGGGGGGCTCCTACCTATCGTGGGCCCAAAGCACATGCTTGCTTATTCTTGTGTTATTACACCCCTGGGTGCAATCAAAATCTTAATATTTCGAAACCGCTGGGTTTCACGAGTAAAGAATGCAGTTTCTGCATTGTAATGGAGATGTGTTCACTATGCGATGTGAGAGGCGAAGCAAGCGTCACGACATTAATGCCTAGATAACCCCCCTCAAAGTCAAAATTGCTCCACCAACGAAGAAAATTATGGGGACGATTTTTTGTTTGTTTTTGTTTTTGAATCACACGGGTGTGTTCGTATTGGAATTCCTCCCCCAAAAGAGTCATAAAACGTGTTTGCACAAGCTGGGTGACCTGAAAGGAAATGGATTATTTATTAATTGTTTGTCTTAGTTTGTGAAATTGCAGAATAAATCTGGATATTGAATTACGAACTTTCCTTTCCTCAATATTTTTTTAGTGTTTGTTTCTCAGTTTGATGCAGATGAATATACGTAATATTTTTTAAATGTCTTATGAAAGCATATTTTTGCGATAAAAATAATTTGAATATAACGTTCTAACAAGAATACTATGAATTCGTGCATAGGTAAACATCGCACTGACTGAATTTAGTACAGTAATATCTTGAGGCCGAATGTTGTCCATTTTATGGATTAAAAACTAAATTGACCATAGTACCATTTGTATTGGGGTACTGCATTAAGAATTCATTGGAATTGGCAATGTAACAAATTCATAATTAGTGAAAAAGCCGACGTCTGAAATAATTGGAATTGTAAAACGTATTAAAGTCAAACATTTAATTTCGCCTTCTAAGTTGCTCTGCTGTTGCATCCACCACGAGCTACTCGGTATAAAACTATTGAGTCTACTGATAAAACTGTTTACAGGTAAATTCTGTTTTCAGTGAGTTCTGGGATATTTAAAACATATATCAATGTCTTTATTCTGCTTAGTCATAAATTAAAATTAGTGTGTTTTTTCCGACTAGGAAAATTCCAAAGAATTTAAGGCTCTAGCAGTTAAGCATATTAGGAAGATATTTCCAATATTCTGCCATCAACGGTTTAAAGTTGTGTGAAGTAATGCCGATCCTTCATCGGATATATCAATTCATTTTCGTTAATGTTATAGTGAATAATTAATGAATACTATATTTCTATCGAATGTACTATGTACATCGTATACGTGATATTTCATTATCATACTTGCTCTATCATTTTGCGAAATGTTTTGATATAATTTCTTTGGAATGCATTTCCTTGTATGTAAGTAGTGAAAACGAAATATTAATGCCTCGCAAAATAGAATAAGAACAACGAATTACCCGAACTCTTCCTCTTACGTAACTCTCATCGAAAATACCCTTTTTATATATAGAGGCACTGAATGTAAACAACCACAATACACACTACCACTGACGTGAAGTAAAATAAACAAGAAACATTTCCGATGGAGTTTGCGAGCAGCACTATGTTACTATAAAAATTCTCGCAATGCGTCCTGTTTT